GCCCATCTTGAGGTTGTACATCGCAATGATGTAAGGCTGTGGAACATCAATGTACTTCTTCTACTTGCGTGACTATTTGCAACAGGTGTCTTCCGGTCCCTGGCCATGAATAGATGAGAGCATTGTGATGGCCTTCTTGTCATACCATCGCAGCACTATTTGGCTCTTGTCATTTTGTATCCATGCTTCAGACACCTCGACCTTTTGCCTTGAGTTTTTTTTTTCACTGGAGAGTTTTACACCTTTCGGCAGCGGATTATTCATTACTGGCTCGGTAGCAGCAATGCCTTTTTGTTGAAAGCTTGTCAAGAATGGGGCCCGATACAGAATAACGGTAAAAATAGAGTTTTCTGCCCGGCTCGAGCGATTCTGTCAACCGCAAAACTGGAGCTCCCGCTATGCCGGAAGCTTCTGGACCAATACTGCTTTTTTGCCCTGCTGAATCTCCAAATCGAGAATCAACCCATTTGGCGCAGTAAGCACAAAGTTTTTTAACCCTTCGGGGTTTGGCTTACGTGGAACGAATCGCTTGAGCTGCGTTCATTCAGTAAATGATATCATTTGCTTGTTGATGCATACAAGCTCTGGGTGAGGAAGCTTTCGGCAGCCTTCCAGCATCCAGCAGAACAACGGCCTTATCCGCCAAAAGTCTTCTTTTTTTTCATCTGTCACATCATGCTCATTGACAAGTTGAAGATGGCGTTGCATCTTAAAATACCTATAGTGTGCCATGTGATTAGCAACCAGAGGCAGTCGTGTTTCCTTGTTCCAATACATATGTATCTGGGGGTGGCCCAAGCATGGCATCACCAACGATATCCCAAAAATGTTTTGAGCTCACTTGCTGTCATGTTCCAAGAACTCTCTTACTAGTGGACATGGCTTCTGTTCATGGCATCTGCTATTTTTTCGTACGTCTCTTCAGGCATTCACTGACAAAAGTAGTCTGATGGAGTCCAAAAAACTCTTGCTGCACTATAATCAACATCATGGGTAATGAAATCCAGAATCCATATCAGAACTGGCCTGCATTAAAAAAAAAGAAATTAACCAGTGTGACAGAGAACATTGTCCCATATTCACACATTTGTTTAAACTGTGACCACGAAAGCACAATACATTGCGTCACATGCTTAACCTTGGTGCCGCTTCCAGGATACCTTAGATGAGTTGCTGATAGAAGTGGATGGGCCATCATCCCCCTTTTCATCTTCATCGGAGCTAACATACTGAAGGGGTGAAGAAAAGCTTAGATCAATGATGGTGGTATCGTCACTGTTTGACAAGTCGAGGTCCAACGAGTTGCCCTGGGCTATTCGCAGGAGTATCTTCTCTGCCGTGTCATCCGACACACGAGGCCTATCCCCTGAACAAAAAACGAGGTGCTTTATTCATGCACGCAGTAAAAAAATAAAAGCAACCACAAGAAACGCTATGCTGACACTGAAATGGACGCAGGATCAATGAGCTACGCGTACGTGTTGCTTCGAAATGACGGCACTGAGTGCCAGCGTCCGTGTTAGGACATGCACTATCAAATCACTAGCAGAGAAATGCAGGCAAATGCACAACTGAAATTTTTTATTCAACATGCGCCTCTATCATTATCTTACTACTTAACCATCCTTAGCATGCTAAAACAGTTAAAAGAATACTATAAACAGTACTTACTTCTCCGGCGGTCACCGTGAAACACTGCTCCGCTGAACATCACCACGTATTCTTCATTTTCAAATCCGCTGGCAAAGTTTCGACAAAACTTTACAGATGGCGCTAGTAGGCATCCAAAATGTTGTACAACTAGTTTAGAAGGCTGAAAATACGCTGGAGTCTTCACAGTAACGCAGTATTTCATGTTCAATATATTGGACAAATAGCCATAGCTGGAACTCGGGAGGATATACCTTCCTTTTGAGGGATAGCGACAACGTAACAGTCATGATTTGCCCAATCAGCCCAATGTGCTTCACCCCATTATACTCTTCTAGTTACTTCAATTTTGTGGTTCGGCTTTGCGGTTACTACCTGTTTTAAGTAGGCGTGCTCTTTTGCAACTTCAAGTGCGCTGATATGTATCTCAAAGCTCTATTCTCTTCCAAGATTGTAGTATATTACTTTCGTTTTCTGCAGATTGATATTAAGGCCTACCTTTTTGCTCTCCTCGTCTAATCAGTCATCTTGAATTGCAATTCGTCCCCTGAGTGACTCAGCAATGCAATGTCATCGGCAAAGCGCAGGGTTACTAAGGTACTCTCCATTAACTCTTATTCCTAACTGTTCCCATTCTAGCCCACTGAAAACTTCCTGTAAGCACACGGTAAATAGCATTGGGGAGATTGTATCCCCTTATCTTGATTTATTGATATGAGGGGCTTCACGTCCCGAAAACCACCACATGATTACGAGAGACGCCGTAGCAGAGGGCTCCGGAAATTTCGATCACCTGCGGTTCTTTAACGTGCACCCAAATCTGAGCACATGGGCCTACAGCATTTTCGACTTCACTGAAAACTCAGCCAGGATTCGATCCCGCGACCTGTGGGTCAGCAGTCGAGTACCTTAGCCATTAGACCCCCGCGGCGGGGCAATATCCCCTTATCTTACACCCTTCTTTATTGGTATTCTCTCGCTTTCTCGATGGAGCACTGTGGTGGCAGTTGATCCTACGTATATTTCCTCCACAGATTTCTTCCGGGATGTTTATATATGCTTTGTCGATGCCCTGACTCTGCAGTGTCTGCATGACTGCTGATATCTCTACTGAATCAAATGCCTTCTTGTAATCTATGAAGGCTATGTAAGTGGTTGTGTGTATTCTGAGCATTTCTCTATCACCTGATTGATAGTATGGATGTAGTCGATTGTCAAGTAGCTCATTGGAAATCCTGTTTGTTCCTTTAGTTGATTGAATTCTAATGTTGTCTTAATTCTGTTAGCAATCACCATTGTAAATAGCTTGTATACGATAGAGAGCAAGCTGATCAGCCTAAAATTCTACAAGTCTTTGTCGTCCCCTCTCTTATGAATTAGGATGATGTTAGCATTCTTCCAAGATTCTGGTGCCCTCCTCGTCAGTGTGGTTGGTTTTTCAAACACAATCTGTCCTCCATCTTTCAGCATATCTGACGTTACTTGATCCTCACCAGCACGTTTGCCTGTTTGCATAATCTCCCAGGCTTTTCTAACTTCTTCTGTCATTACTAGTGGGATGTCATCTGGGTTAATGCTAGTTCTTACATTATGGTCGTGGTTGTCCCGACTTATATATAAATCCTACGCTACTCTAACTATTCTATCCATATTGGTAGTCACTTTGCCTTCCTTGTCCCTTAGTGCATACACCTGGTGTTTGCCTATACCGAGTTTTCTCTTCACTGCTTTGACGCTTCCTTCGTTCCTCAGAGCAGTTCGATTTTCTCCACGTTATACCTTCTTACATCGGAATACATTACGCTTATTAATCAACTTCGAAAGCTCTACCAACTCTATTTTGTCTGTTGTACTTGAGGATTTCATGCTTTGACTGCTTCTTAATGAGATTCTTTGTTTCCTAGGATAGCCTGCCAGTGTCCTGTCTGAATACAGTACCTCCAACTTCCACTGCACACTCCGTAATGATACTCGTCAGATTATCATTTACTGAATCAACACCAAGGCCGCTTGCCTCGGTAACAGTTGAGTATCTGTTCTGAAGTGAGACTCTGAATTCCTGTACTTACCTTCTCAGTGCTAGCTCATTGATTGGCTTCTTGCGTATCAGTTTGTGTCATTCTTCTTCAATTCTAGGTGAATTCGAGACCTTACCATTCTATGGTCACTGCACGTACCTTGCTAAGCACTTCCACATCCTGCACGATGCCTGGGTGTGCACTCAGTATAAAGTCTATTTCGTTCTTATTTTCGCCATTAGGACTCCTCCATGTCCACTTACGGTTCCCTCGTTTTCGATAGCAGGTATTCAATATCCGTGAATTATTGCGTTCTGCAAATTTTACTAATAACTCCCCTCTGGCATTTATAGTACCGATGCAATAATCTCCTACTGCCTAGTCTCTAGCCTGCTTGTTCCCTACTTTAGCATTCAAGTCGCCCATCAGTGTAGCATACTGTGTTTTTACCTTACTCATTGCCGATTACAGACCGTCACAGAAGCTTTCAACTAACACGACATCCAATCAATTCCCTTACTTTGCAGTTGCAACTGGAGGTCATTTTCAGAAAGGTTGACAGGTGGGCTAGTTGGTACAAATTCATAATGAAATAACTGGAAGCGCAAATCAACGGGACACTTCTCTTCTGTTTGTCTCTTCTCATGTGTCCCGTTGGTTTGCGCTCCCAGTTATGAGAAGAGGTCACTTTTTCAAAAAAAGACAGCTGTAATTGCTTTTTCGCAAGAAGGACTTCAGGTCTCTGATTTGACATAAGTGCCTAACTTGAGTTAGTTTAACTTGCTCCATTAGTGTCCCCAAATTATGTCTTCACCCATCCTAAGATGCTTGTGGCTACACAATTGTGAAGGCATTGAACAAATATTCCATTTTTCCAATTTTGATGATTTTGGACACATCTTTTTAAACACTCCGTATGGCAGGCAACAAACAGGCCTGCACACTAAATCACTCTGAATAATGCCACGCTGCAGCAGCTGCCGGGTCGCAGAGAGAAGCCGTCAGTTTTTGTTCGGAAAAGATTTCTCAACAAATGCACACACATATTCACTAAAAAAAAAAACAATATGAGGGCATCCGCAATACTGGCAGATCAAGCTATTTCGCAATTGTCTCCATGACTCGATATATATCTTGGTTCCATCGTAAGCGCTGTTTCAGTTTTTTGTATGCAGTAGGCTTTTTCTTCTCCGCCTACATTCGAAGAAACTTTTTTTTTTTTTGACTTTGGACTTCAGGTGTTTCGCTTATAATCAGGGCTAGCTTAGATTCTAGCAAGACCTGTAGCCGCACTGTCACCTAATTCTCTTGACGCTAACACTTTGGGCATACCTTCTCCGATATATTGAGATGGCCAAGCATGTCACCACTGAGGACGTCCGTGCCGGCATTATAGACAATCAAGTCAGCATCGAACTCGGCCAGAGACATCTGCAAGTGGCTGCACATGCGAAGATGGGAAATGAAAATGTTTGGAGAGCCTGCAAGTTGATTCCCTTTACTTGTTGCAACAGCTTATACAATTGAACTCAATATATATAATACTTCCTAAAAGAAATCATAGAGTACAAAGAAGCACTGTGTAATCCCCTTGGATATTTTTTTGATGTATAAACTAGTTTCACATATTGAATTACCTATACATAGAAGTCTTTTTGATCTCCTTCAGATTCTGTATATCCGTTGCAACTGTAGAGGAGAACTAAACTATAGCGTTGAATTTGCCTAATAATTTCATAAAAGAAGGTGGCAATTTTATGCCCACAAATGTATGAAAAAAAAAAGAGACAACAAGGAAAGAAAGAACATCCTATCTGCATCTGTTCTGAGTATCTCTCGGCTCTATCTTCCTTTTGAAAACGTTCCCTGCGCATTAAGAAAGTATAATTCTTTCAAGAAAAGAAGAACATTGAGAATGTTAGTTTTCAGTTCAGTTTCACAGTTCAGGTTCGACGGAACACCGTCTAGCTTCAGTTTATAGCTTCAACCAAAATGCAGAAGTAGTGAAGTGACTTGCAGGAACATGCAAATAGCACTTTTTAAGATCAAATCAAATGTAAATCGAATAGTGCAACAAGTGAAATGAATATAACGCCGTAAAGCTGGCACAGAAGTGAACCGAACGTTCATTATTTTGTGAACTGTTTGTTAACACTGCCCATGACAACATCAACACGCCATAAACACTAAACAATTTTTCGCTGCCTCATATGTACCTACAACATCAGAAAGTTGCTGTCTTCATAGTGCACATTATAAGCACACTTATAGAAAGCTTAATGAGAGTGTTATGTACTAAACAGTTTGCTAGCAAAGCTGGGATCCACAGAGCATACAAGGCCATGAATTAATTATGCTTAATTTTCAAAGGTAGCCTTGTAAGCCAAATAAAATCTGCCCGGCACTAAATCTATTTACGATAAATTTCTCTAACAGTCTATGTTTGTAAACCTTATGCAGTCCTTTACTCCCTCATCCCATTCTTTTTCATTGTTTATCCAATATTCTTAAAGAAACACTAATGTTTTGAAGAAAAAAGAGCACTGTTTCGTGTAACAGTGACAGACAATGCAGTAAAGTGCCTACGGAAGCAGTCAAATGAGTAGCGAGCGGTGACCTCACCACAAGCCATAAGATAACCATCCCCCACGTTGTCCTGAGGTCGCTATTACCCTGTAAGTGGTAGGCAAAGCAACTTGCTCTAAACACATATGAGAGTAAGCATGAAAGAACAATTAAAAATAGCATGCAGTGGACAAAGAATGCCCCCTACACTTTGGTCACTCACTCGTCTAGAAGCTTTAAGTAGGCTTCGTCCGACGTGCCTGGCCGTAGCTCAACCTTGCGACGAATAGCCCCTGCGATTGGTATTTCAAACGCACTTACGAAAAGCAATGCCATGACAAGGTTAAATGCCACAGCCTAATAGGAAATCCAATATGTGGACACACACATCGCATAGTATACTGATCACGCAGAAAGTATGACCTTGCCGTCCCAGCTTTTAAGGCATATTTCATTCCCGCCAAACAGCTACGCTTTCGAGAATTCCCCGTGGCTGAAATGACATTAAGTTTTATAGCATGCAATCACTAGCTGTCAATGTAACTGTTAATGATTACAAATCAATATATATTCCATACTACAATTACCAAGGCATTTTGTAATAGAAGGTTAGTGCTCCAATTTCAATAAGCCAGGACTAGTTCAAGCCACATCTATCGCAAATTTCTCAGAAACAAAGGGCATACTGTGAGTAGTGCTACACATCTGCATTGCCAACCCCTTATTACACAGTTTTCTGCGAAGAGCTGCGCACAAGGCACTGATCTTGTTCCAGGTAACAAAGCAGGCTGCACCCACGTATGCAGACATTGTGCCTCAAGGATCTATTATAATATATACAGTTGAACCCTTTTATAAAAAAAACTGATGTAAGAGACAAACGGGTGCAAGAGACACCGAGCTGCCAGCATAGAAATAGCTGTCGATAAGAAAATGCATACGTGGTACCCAGGTTATATGAGACACTTCAAATAAGAGACGAGAATTGCTTCCCAGTGCATGTCTTTTATAGAGAGGTTCAACTGTACTAAGAAGACATTTACACGCTAAGTGTGACTTGACTGTAACAAGGTTCAGCTGTGGGTTGGCTGGCACTCTGCAGCGCAGCCAACATGCAGAGCCACAGAAAAGGTGCGTATAAAGAATAACGTGGAGCACTGTAGAAGAAAAGGCACAATAACAACAAAAGAAAGCTTTCACTATGTACTTCCCTGCCCCAGCACTAGCTTTCATGCTAAGTTTTGTTCCCTCTCTAAAGTGGAACAGAGGAGTGTAAAAAGAAAAGCAACCCTCTCCTCTTCTTCCGTCCACATCCCCAATCTCGTCGCCGTAGTGCCAAGCCAAGAACCTTACAGCTGTGCAAACTCCCGCATACCTTTGGCGTGTTCGTCATTCGGGTAGATCGCTCTGTTGTAGACGTCCATTATGTACACATCTTGGTCGCCCAGAAAGTCCCGTTCATATCCATTGCCCTGCACCACAAGTTTTAGAAGTGAGGGGCAAACATCAGCTCAAGCTGCGAATCCAGAAGCCATCAATTGGTTCATCTGTGCATTTTGTGTTACTAAGAAACCTAAAGATAACTGGCATCATCTGTCACTCACAGCTCAACTGAAGTAATTTAGAATTAACAAATAATCAACATTGATTTACTACTTTTACATTACTGTGGATTCCATTGACTCATTTTATAATATATTTCACAAGCATAAATAAATACGCTAGGCTTCTTTTTAATGTATTCTCTCACATATAATAGAGCTGAATAACTTAGCTAATAATTGACTATTAAAAATGCAATTGAATTAGAACCTTTTACTGCTGGTAAAAAAATTAACAACCATGCTACTCAACACACGGGGGCACAGCTGTCCATTGGTCAGCAAAGTAAAAACAATATGGTAGAATATCAATGAACAACTTAAATGCCACAACAACATCTTCATTGGTTGATTTTGTGTTTTATTAACGCGAAAGAACTTTTGTTACACCGCTGTCAACAAGTAATTTTGATCGGGGTAGAGCCCAATCCTGATTGGTTCCCATTATGATGCGGCTCGATCTAGATCAAGTATTTCTATACAAAACTAACCCTTTTAATCACAATTAGGCCCAACCGAGATCATGACAACCATGACTCGCGCATTGGGACCTAGCTGCCAGATCGTGGTGTGACTAATATGTGATGTTTGGCTGATGTTTGACTGATGTCAACATGATCCTCATTCGGTGGGACCACGTAACAGCGACGACTGTTGATTGCAATCAAGAAATTCGATCCTCATTGGCCCTAACCGTGATTAAAGATGCCCATGTGACACCAGTATTGATCGGACCCAGTTTTTTCGACGTTTCCTAAATGGCGCCACTGAAGAAAACCATAAAAATGCTTTTTTCCTACAATGCAGGTAATGTGACGTAGTCTCTTGCAACTTTTGCCTTCCACTCGTTACAAAGATTCCCACTGTACAACTGTGTCCTATATGGCCACCACTTGAAGCAGCAGGGCCTTGCTTTATCTTTAAACTAGCAAAACTTGTTCCATCTAATAACCATCATCTGGCTTGCCCCATACCACGATACAAGTTAACAGATACATTTAGTATTTACGTTCAACAACAGATACATTTAGTATTTACGTTCAACATACGTAACAGAGCTGAAAAAGTGCATGAAAGACGATGCAGCAAATCTCCATGCCCTTATTGCTGAGAGGAACTTTTGTTAATCTGGACACATTTACAAACACCCACTCACATGGTGAACTTTTTTTAGCTAGACAAACTGAGACTCACAACCACTATGACTCGCTCCTTCTCTGACATGCACGTGCTTGAGTCGTCAAAACTCATTTGAACACAGATTGGTAAGCGAGTTTGAATCGGAGTGAGTCGTCTCATTTGTGTAGGACATAACTAATGTCGCCTAGCTGAAGGTGCACACACCTGACAGCGCCTGATGTAATCCATAAATTCATGAAACTTTCACAGAGTGAATGCACAACAGAAGCTGTTTAAACTAGGCTTGGCACGAATAGTAAATGCGAGGTTTAAAGCGAATTCAAAGTTACTGGTGATTTGCTTCAAATATTTTTAATCGAATTCGAATACTACGTATCACATTGTAAGAAAAATGAGCATATTAGTCTTTATCCAGCTAACCTGCACAATATCTTCTTTTTTTTTTTTATTGAAACATGGCACAAGCATATGTTATTCTTTTTGGATCAAAGGAAGTAGAAGCAACTTTGCAGAGAAACAGGGTTTGACTTTCGATAGAATGCAAGTGATGGCATGTAAAATATGTAACATTTTAAAATCTACTATATTAAGAAAATATAAGCCAGTATAACAACCTTTAAACTTAAAAGACAAGCAATATTTTTGTCATGGCAACGCCTCCCAGAAAAACTATGCCTAGAACGTCACTTTATTTTCAATTGGGAGCCTCCTTCCAGCAGGCAATCTATGAGGCCATGCCTCCTGCCTTGCTGTTGCAACCGGCCACCGTGTGAGACCGCTCGCCTCCGTATCGCTCAGTCACGTGACATCACGGCTGCTCGGAGGTGACTGTGAGAGCATTGTTGTGTTCATAGAAGGCGGCCGTCGGAGACGCTCACCTTCGTACCCAAGGAGAAGAGAAAAGTACTCTGGGTAGGTCAGCGCATTCATGGCTCACGCTCCAAGCATAATTTCTTTAGGAGGCGTTGGTCAGGGTAATAATGTCACGTAGTCCTGACATTGACAAAGACAGTGACGAAAACGTCCAAAATGAAACTATGTATTTGGCCGAACTTGTGGCAGGCAAACGCAAAGTCGGATTACAGCAATATACACTAGCACTGATAGCAGCGAACTGAGCATCAGCCATCGATCAACTAACAAGCGATGATACGCGTCGGCATTTATGCATGAGCCACCGAATGTTCTAGCACTATCGCTAGCGGCCAGGTAAGTTCCAGAAGAATCTGTAGGGTTCCTGTTTTGGGCGTAATCAGCATCGGCAGGTTCAACGATTATCTCGATGGTTCTTGAGTCGATCGGCGTGATCGTGCAAAGCAGCACTTACAGGTATATGGGGCGATGACAAGACCTTAGAAAAGAGCATGGCAATAGTGTGTTCATTAACCTTAAAGTGAAACTTCGAGAGCAGTGCGGATTTTTTTTTTTGTAAAAGTGTTTTACACGGTACAGTATTTGGCCACCACAGTGGAGCCACCTTTACAGTTACCTTTACATTTTGAATATTTTGAAATTCACAATAATTTAAATTCGAGTCAAAGCGAGATTGAATACATTATTACTCATTCGAATGTTAGAAGTGTCCGAATAATTGCACAAGTCTAGTTTAAACACTAATTTAGGCATGACAGTAGGTTTGCTTTCAAAATAGGCATGATAAAGCTTTTGAACTGTATATGAAATGCCCACATTGCATTCTGTTGTCCGTTGTTTCCCAACACATGAGAATACCACAAAAGGCCCAGATTTTTCTTGAACCATTGAGAAATCAAAGAACCATTTGTGAGTTTCACTCAGGGAACTTCGATATTGGTTGCAAAGTGTTGACAAACCACTGTGACAGATGCAATGTTGCCAGTGGTACACTTGTCTTCCACATTAGTCATAAATTAGTGTCAGAATCTTTGCTTGAATCAGCAGATCGTTCACGCTTTTAAACAATGTAAATAGTTTTCACATCTTATTTTCAGGCATTCCCGTAACACGGCCTCTCTCGAGTGGAGGTTGCTGCTGCGCTGGTACATTAAAATAGCACCTGCCTCGCGACCCTTGGACACAAGGGCTACCGATGAGGCATTCGCGCTTATGCCATATATCTTATTATAGTGTCAATTCAATGAACACTGCCACTAATTCGTGTTGCACGCATTTCACTTCACCCTGGTGATTTTAAATATTTACATGCTTTACCCGCCATAGGGCGTGGGTTAGGCATTTATAAAGCCACGTAATAGCGTCATAGTTCACATCAACACGTCACTGCAAGCCATGCATCATTGCTATATTAATGTCATTTCTCGTAGCACTCTTTGGCCAAGCATGGCCCTTGCACCAATAAAAAACCACATATCATTATCATAACCATTATCATTGAATTGGCAGATTTAAGAAAGTTAGTGAAACATTGCGCTGTTAAGATTAGAAACAAAGTAAGCCGATATGCATACACTTTGAAATTCATGCAAGCGCTTGGAAAATGGGAGTGACTTGAACTTAAAAGACATGATCTGCTGTGGTGCACTAAGATAATTGACATGCTGAATTAGTCAAAGGAATGCTGGTGCACCTGAGGGGCTAATGATCAACCCGCTTTTGCCACCGTCTTGTTGGGCAGGACGCACCTGATGCGCGTCCAAATCGACCACGATGACGTGCTTTATCTTGCCTCGTCGCCGCAACTCGCGCACAGCGAGGGTGATGTCGGCGTAGCAGCAAAAGCCACCGCCTCGGTTGGCGCTCGCGTGGTGAAATCCGCCGCCCAAGTGGATGGCCCAAGCCGTGATCCAGGGCAAGTTGTGCGGCCTGAAATTAATACTCATTGTCATCTAGCGACTCTTCAACTCTCATACTTTTAACAAGTACAGCACTGTACTCACTGGAATGCGACACTATTTTTTAAAATGTATTGATTGGTACAGGCAATAACTCACAATAGCAACGTTACAGCACATGCAAATTTGGTCACTAAAGTAACATTGGCTCAGATACAAGTGTCTATAGTCGGGTACAACTTTAGAAGACAGAAAAGGCCCCGCCCAGATGACTGAAGCGCAGCAGCCAATTCGCTCCGCAACTAAAAAAATAGCCCCGCTAAAAAAATTGTGGCTGCTTCTAAAACACGTATTTGTCGGTATAAGTAAGATTTGTGTATTGTGACGAGTGCTTTGGTAAAACTGTAATGATGAAATGTTACAGCACATGCCGGATCACACATGCCAACAGAAAATGTCCCTCACAGATCATGCTCGATTTGAAAGGGGCATAGAAACACATTTCAATGCTGGTACATCTGAATTCAAACACTATCGTTACCTAATTATCGTTAGTGAGCTCAAAATGCTCATTTGGGCAGCTAGACGTTTACCTATCTTATCACACTGCTGCCAACAATCAGTCGTTTGCACGCTGAGCTGAAAACAACGAAGGCATGCATGTTCTCCGGTCAACAGGGTCATCGGCCTGTCCGGCTCATGCGTCACTGTTCAGAGAAGAATGCTGCTGCCTTCTAAAGTTGTACCCGACTATATTCAAAATTACGCTGATATGCTGTGAACTGTAGCCACTGAGATTGAAAGCATGAAGAGAGGTGATCAAGAGCTCCCAGGCCGCGCTGCCCAGCCAAGGAGCGGTTGCTTGCTGTTATCAGGGTGCTGTCTCTTAATCATGCCTTGGCGCATGCTGCTGTTGGGCATTTGAGTGGAGAAGGGTGTGCATTCTTCTCCCTTTCATGCTCTTCTTGATGAAGAAAGTGTGGAATAAGCAAGGTGCATCATGTTCTTTCACCGTTCTCTCTTCAAATTTTGCTACCATGCAGCATGTAGAGACACGACAGTGCTACGAACACTGATTCCTCATGCTTGAGGCAGTATTTAGCTGGACGCTGTATACATTACCATGACTTTCGGTTTCCTGGAGAACAATATAGATCGTTTAACTTTTCATTGGCACAGCAGTGGCTCTCTCAGTGACCCACACAGGCCAATTCGCTGCATACGAGCATTGTCGGGGCCCGAAATGTATTCAGAAGAACTTGTGTTGAAGCTAATTAGAATATCTTAGTGGAATAAGCAGCGCTGCACAGTAGTAACATGCAATGACGAACCATAAAAGAAAATGACGCACCATATTTATTCCTCACTTTTGTATCAAGGAGAGCAAGAAAGACTGAAGAGATGCACCCCCCCCCCCCCCACACACACACATGCTCAACACCAAAGGTGTGACTGCGATGGCAGCCCGTCAGCTGGGTGCAGTGGCCTGAGAACTTTTGATCACCCCTGTACATTACTGAGCCCTTTCGCATATCCATCTGTGATTACTGTACATGTTTTTGTGAACGTGTTAACCCAATTGATGTATTCAAAAGCTGTTACAAAGTGTCAAGTCAAGTCAAGATTGCACACCATATAGTGGAATAAAACGCTTCCTAGGTGGTTTTCCTTGGATTCACTGTTGGTCGACTTCGTATAACTGTTACTAACAAAAGGTCATCCTTCTCAGTTCACGTGGTTCTCTTCACTCAGGTTCAGCTCATCGATGATATTCAACTATGGATGCATACACCTTTAAAAAAATAAAAATAAACTAACAATGTAATCATGAGAGAGCCATATCAAACTTCTTTGTTTAGTCACCTGCATTGAAAAGAGGGACACCAAAATAACAACCCTAGGTGCCCAGAAAGAGCAGTGTGTCGCTATGTATGGACCTTCAATGTGTTATTGTCCGCATATTACATGGTGTATTTAATATTCTGTAGTTACAAAACAACTCCCCAACAACAAAATATGAGATGGCGGCACATGCACAGAACAAATACCTTAAGGAACTTGAGGAATCCAGCAGCAGAGTTGACTAGTTTCATAAAGGAGCAAGACTAATCGACTTTGCCTGATTCAGCTGAGGAGTATCACTATTATGCTTTTGAATGGTTAGGCACCACTTCTCAGCAATACTAAGACTGGCCCATGTAAGTTTCATTGCTACATGCCAAATATCGCACGTTTTGAACGAGGAGTTGAAACAAATGACAGAAAGCAGCATGTTCTGGCTACTATTATAAGTGCGAACTTGTTGTCATAAGGTATAAAAAACTTAGAAAGGAAACACCACATTAGTGAAGCAAATAAATAAAGAAATACATAAATTAAATAAATAAATGGTCAATGGACAAGTTTCTATAGCATACATGTGTACAAGATGTGTTCAAGAAACTTCCCCCTCTCTCTCCTTAAATGTGCACAGTAGCCAACCTAATAAACTGAAGTGTTTTTCAGTTAATATTCTATTTTTCCTTTATTCACATTCTCATTGGAAGCCTGTCACCTTCCTTAAGGGGGGCCATGACACAGCCACCAAACAGCTTGTGATTAACTAGAAGTAGAGGGTCTGTTATGCCTATATTGATATGAAAAGTGGCCATAAGAGTATTTCTGTGCAAAACAGGCCCTAGAATTTGCCGGTTGTAAATATGCCTACCGTCGGCGACTGCCATTTTATTTGCCATAGGTACCTCTTATGACACATGCAGCAAGGAGCGGTGCCCATTGTTTTCTACCACAGTTTCAGCCGCTACAAATCGTTCAGTTTCGGTGCAAAGCAGAAGAAAGCTCAAATATCTGAATTTCATGCGCAGCTGACAAGGGCACAATATAGATTGGCAGAATGCAGATGATCGCACAGCTATAGCTGCTTGTAACATCACAGCTCGCGAGTGCGTTAGTGTTGCCGGACTCTCACGGTCTGCTCGCATGCTTAAAAAAATATATATTAGTAAAGTAAGGGCTCGACAAAACGCGCTTAAAATTTCTCCAGCTTATTTGTGAGTGCTCAGGGATTAGTCTACATAGCACAGATTATAAACGAAAATTCGGTGTCATGGCCCCTTCAACATAATGTCCATAAAACACTAAGATGACAGTTTTCACATTCGCTGATCAGCTACAACATGCGAAGTCTTCAGGAGGTGCTACAACTACAAACCACAAAACACTTTTGAAAATGTGCACAGTAGCACAAACTGGGTAGCTACACTTGGTACTGACCAGAACAGTGCCAGCTGTCTGGTACCGAAAGGGCCGCAGCACCCGTCTCTGGACCACACAGTTGGGAAGCATGGCCACCAAAGGGACCTCCGTGACCGTGGCAACATAGGCACTCCACTGCATGCAAAATGGGAAAGATTGCCGGCATCACATCAACAAACAAATCTAGTTGAAGTTGAAAATCGGTCCTCCTTTCTGCAAGCACAGCAATGTAAAGCACCATTGCAGTAGTTTTCGTCGATGCCTTTTCTCAGTTCAAATGTGATTGATTCAGAAATGATAGCATAACAGACAGTTGCCAAAAAAGTTACTGCACGTTCGTAAGAAAACATTTCCTAGTCAAACTCAACCACAGGAGCAGAAACAACTATTCTTGCCATCGAACACTTCCCCATGCTTCTACTGTCTTTTGTTTCTTAATTTCTTTCCCTCCGTATGCCATAAAGTGAGCTGTGAGGTGCAACATTAATTACTTCAGCAGTGCTTATCCGCATTCACTAGAATATGGGGCGGGTGAATCCACTTACCGCATCAAAAGAATTCCGTCAGCAAAAATTTTAAGCTTAGCCCACATCTTTGTAACAAAGAGAACTTCATATATCGACTTAAAAAGTGTCAATTATGACGACATGCAATGTTAAATCTAATTTCACCCCGAAGCTGTTCCTGAAAGCCATTCCACTATGTCGTGAAATGAGAATGCCCCCTTTGATTGAGCATGGAACCAAGATGAAGTTATATAAAAGCTTTAAACACCCAATAAAAGTTGAAAATCAGGGTCTCGATGCAGGTCACCAGCAATGTAATATCTGTATATGAATTGAAAATGCACTGTGCTCTTTGGCTATATCAAAACACCAGGTTTTACATATATAACTAACTGCCAACACAGCCAAATGAAGAAAACATGTCGAGTTTTTCTTTTCCTTTTTTTTCAATATTCACCATGTTTTTAAAATAAACAAGACATTCCCTTCACAAGTCAATTGCAACCAGGTAATAGTTGTGCTTATGTCTCTAAGAATGAAGATGTAAAATAATACAGAAATCATATTTACTAACGATCCAAAGTGAACTGACAAAAATATATGAGAAATGGCAGAGCGCATAAATTTCCTCCTTTTGGTCATCTATGATGTGCAAGAAACTGCAAGAGAGCTGTTCCTATTGATATACTACAAATACCTGACATATATAGTTATTTTTTTCTTCAGCACATATTGCGCTTCACTTTCTTACATAAGTTAGTTGCTGCTGGGCACTGATGGCACATAATGTTTTCCACACCAGCGTGTTAAATAAGTGTCAGGATACTAAATTAGGTCAAACAAAGATCACTCAGAAATTTTCAAAAGAGTTTGTAACATGCCAGCTTAACTGCTTGTCTATGACACAAGCTTTCACGAGTCACTTAGCTACGTTCGTAAGATGCAGTCACTGACTCTGAGTTTGTTGATGTAGGTGGGCGGGTGCACAACCAACAGCTCCTCTTCGGTAGCCTCATGAGGTTTGTAGAAGTTGCTGTCTGTCAGAAGACCAGCGCCTGCACAGAGAATTTGTGTTGTACAATTTATACATGAAATACACAGAAAAGTTGGCTATGTTTGAGCAACTTATCCCACCACCACTATATATAAATATTAAAGAAAAAAGAGAAAAAAAAGGGGAAAGGAAATGAAAAGAAAATTAAAGGATAAGAGTTAGAGCTGCACAAATAGCAACTTTTTGAGTGCTAAGCGAATTGAAATATAGAAGTGTGAGTGCAAATAGAATAGAATACTTCTGTATATATTTCTCCGATCTTTCTGGAGTATTACTTGTATAATTTGAAGTGAAACAGCAGGAAAAAATATGATAGGACTCTTAAGCATATTTCTATATGATAACAACAAGGAAGTGTTTCTTTTGGCTAGGTTTATGAAGCACTGGCAGGGTGGTGTTTCATAGTTGTCTTATCAAGAATGAGGCAATGCAGAAGCCACATTGTTTTTATGTACACTCGTTGAAAAAATAAGTCAAGACATGCGAGTGACGACCACAACCCGATAAAACTACATCGCAGCGTCATCTGAAGTGGAGAGTGCGCATGCGCGTCCTTTCAATTTCGCAGCCATATCTTTTAACTCTCTTGCAGCGTACCAGCGATTACATGTAGCGTTTCGTGCTAGGCGTCACTTTCTTCATTCCGTGACGTGCTCAGTTCAACGGAGGCACGGTGAAGTGTACGCGGCTCGCTTCACAAACAACGCAGGACAGCCAAACTTTTCATTTAACGCGCTGTTGTTAAAAGCTCCTTTCGCAGAAATTCCGGTGTTAATGTCTATGTAAGCGTCATAGGTAGTGGGCGAAAAATCAGTGTGTTTTGCGTGGCAAAAAATATGTTCAATGTTACGCGCAAGGCTTTCCTTTCCTCATGGCATGTTGAGGATAATTATGGAGAAGGCGATGCCAAGTAATCTTGATCAGGTTCTCGTGTTCTACTCTTGGGCGCGAATCTCAAGCGTCCTTATCATTTTATTGTGGTTTAAGAGCTCACACTTAGAGTACAGAGAAGCAGAAAACGTCTGCTCATTTATGACCACGCTTTGTTCTGTTCAGCTGTCACTAAGATTTTCGAGTTCATCACTGCTCTCATGTGCTTTCGTAACTTTCTGCAGTCACGCGAAATGTGTTGTGATTTACATGCTCTCTATAGAGGGTATTGCAAGCTCCAAAGACGCGTGATTACAGCTAATAGACGCAAACCCGATGAAGAATGTGAGGGCTCGAATGTAGTGGGGTCTGTCCAGGCGCAACTTGTTAAGGGCAACATCGGATGTGCTGTGGAACGCGATTCAAGAAGAGTGGGAGGCCCTTCGGGCGGACTGCGATTATTTCACATAGTTATGCAAATGTATACCAAGAAGAATGTTATAAATAATTTTCCTGCACGGCCACTTCACGCACTATTAAATTTGTGGTACAAAGGAGGTGAAGGAAGCAGAGGTGATAAGTTTCGCCATTGCTGTTTTTTGCTCGCCCTCAGTTGCTTTCCTTTTTTGTTTTTTGAAGGCCAACCCATCACCACGCCTATTCCAGCAATAGCTTTTTTTTCGTTTTTTTTTTCTAGTCCAATTGCCTCTTTTGTTACATGTTCAAGCTGATCTGCCTGCATCTTGTTATATTATGTTAATAAACTGAAGCATTCCTTTGGCTCAATTCCTTTTCGTTTTTAATGCCCTCGTACATGTTTCATTATCACATGGTGCCCTTAAACTAAAACGAATATGCAGAAAAGAAAATTAGTGATGTGTGTGGCACCAGTTTGCCACTGAGACAAGATATGCTATCTTTTCATCAGGATGCAGCGAGTCGCATACACTTCACCGCCACCGTGCCCTCGTTGAACTGAGCGCGTCAAGGAATGAAGAAAGTGACGCCTAGCACGAAAGGTTACATGTAATCACTAGTACGCTGCAAGAAAGTACAAAGATATGGCTGCGAAATAAAAAAAAACACGCATGCGCACTCTCCTTGTCAGATGGCTCGGCGATGCAGTTTTATCTGATTGCGGTCGTTGCTCGCACATCCCAACTTACTTTGTCAACGGATGTACATGATTTTGTGCAACCCAGGCTCGTAACTAGGGGGGCGTTGAGGGGGTTCTGACCCCCCCCCCCAAAAATTTTTTTGATGCTTTAACTTTTTGGGTGATACTAAAATATTTACACGCCTTCACAGCGACCACCAGCTGCCAAAGTTACACTGCAACTTTCCTGGCATTGCTTCCCTCTTCTTCCTTTCTTCAAACCTACCCTTTTACCAAAACACCTCAGCGCTCCCTCCCTTGCACGCGCACCTGCCCTATTTGTACAGCTTTGCACTTCGCCCTCGCGTTCCTTCGAGTCTTTTTTTTTTTTTTTTGTCTTTCACACCGTAGCAGCTCCTTTATTGATTCCAGATGCTTTCCTTGTGCATTGCCGCTGAAGAAGTTATCCGTCTGTGCGGACTGCACGTGTCGGCTTTGGATTTCTACGAAAAGCGTGTCTACTTATGTGAAGGTAAACAGTTCGACAGCAACGGCAACACCAACACGACGTGCGCAAATTTGCCAAGGAACGAAACCCCTAAGCGGAAAAACTCAGCGGCGCATTCCGAGGACGCAGGCTGCAGGGCAAACTTTTCTCAAACTGTAGTTTTCGCCACCGAAACGAATCATCGAAGATGACATCTACTGAAAGACTGGCATATCCGAGCAACTTCGAACAACCTTAACCACACGCAAGGAAATCTTCCTCTTCTGTACACAGAAGGTATATGCGCCTCCCTACAAAGCGCACAAAGCGAGGATACAGCCGGCACACAATCCGGCACCAGCGGTGAACTTTCACAGGAGAAAAAAAACGCCGCCAAGCTGGGCTGCGCGCGGGAGTACAGAGGCTGACGTCACAGCCTACAAAGTGCATTTTTGGGGGGTCTTGGCTATTTAATTAGTGCAGCCCAGAGAGAATTATGCAGCCGCCCAGGGAGCCGTCTGTGAAAAGGTGACTTTTTCACAGGAACGGAGCAACACCTCCTTTCTGGACTGTACCACGGGAGTGCAAATGTCTCGGCAGTGCATTCTTGGGGGTTCACGTATATTAAGGGGAGTATGCAGTGCCCATGGAGTCTTCTGTGAAAAGGTCTTTAAGTAGCGTTAATCCAGTTTGCTGCAGCTGGAGTACAATAATGGGCCTGCATGCACACCAGCTGTAGCGGTGTTCAGAAAACACATGCGCCACGCGGGAGCCGGCGCGTTCATCACACTTTTACATTCTAGCCACTGTAAAGTGGATAAGAGAAGAAGAAAACATCACCCGCCGTTCACGCCAGGCAGTCGAAGCAGTCGCAAACGTCTTTTTGGAGCCCCTGGCCACTTCTGTGTGCGTGCACAGGATTGCGGCAGCAAAATGAAAAGACACTCTGCAACAACGAAGCAAAGGAGTCTTGCGTCTTACCTTAAGAAAGTTCGAACCGATGAAGCGGACGGAGAAGAACCGCCTCCTTCGAAGGATAAAACTTCGCCCTCCTCAGCACTGGTGGAAAGCCAAGCGCGCCCGAACTTTTGTAGCGACTCAGGAGAATGTACCGGTTTATATGAATCACCTGAGAACAAACACAAGCATGACACCCATGCGCCGCTGGGAAATGATGGTGGCCGCAGTGCAACTCCAAGTGATCTTTGTTCCACAGTCAACGCTGGGCAAAGTGACACCTTTACCACTGGGCAATGCCCAAGGAAGGTGAGTGGCATGGCACCTACACATTTTGGTTCGCCTCCCCTCTGTGCAACAAGTGTGAATATTTTCGACTTGGGACTGTTTGTCTTGAAAAGCAATAATGTAAATGATCCAGAGACGATGGAGAAGCTGCTGCTCAATCCGTGGACCCCTCCGGCTGACTATGATTATCCAGCCACAGGGAAAAGGAATCTGAAGTTCCAACCTCAATGGGTAGATCGTTACCCATGGCTTGTTTATTCGAAGAAGCTTCAAGGAGCATTATGCAAATATTGCGTAGTCTTCGCAAGCGAGTGTGCAGGAAAAGGGGAGCACCAGCGCTTGGGCTGTTTTGTAACTAAGGAGTTCACCAATTACAAGAAAGTCATGGACGCCCTTAAAAGCCACGCATCCAGCAGTTATCACGCCATGTCAACAACGATATCGGAGAACTTTTTAGCAGTCCGGTCCCGCTCACAGCATGACATCTTAACACAACTTGACCATGGCCTTAAAAAGCAGGCGGAAGAAAACCGCAAGAACTTGCTGCCAATAATAGAAACAATCCTTTTCTGTGGCAGGCAAGAAGTACCGCTTCGTGGCACAGATGACTCTGGTCCGATAAATATGTCTGAAGTGCTGCCATTCAAAAATGATGGAAATTTGCGCGCACTGCTTAGGATGAGAGCAAAATGTGGAGATGCCGCCTTGAGAGCTCACATGGAAACATCTCTGGCGAATGCGCTGTACACGAGCCCGAAAATTCAAAATGAGTTGATCACCCTCTGTGGTAAAATCATACAAAGAAAGATAGTGGAAAACATCAACTCAGGTTCGTGTTTTTCAGTTCTAGCTGACTGATATATCTCGCACTGCCCACATTTCCCTATGTGTAAGGTACGTTGGACACGACACTTCGGGAGTGCCCATTCTTAAAGAAGATTTTGTAGATTTCGTTCCCGTGTACGATCTCACTGGCAAGGCGCTGGCGAGCACAACCCTGAACAGCCTTAGAGGTCATGGCTTTGACCTGAACCTACTTTGCGGGCAAGGATACGACGGCGCGGCATCAATGAGCGGCCACCTTAACGGTGTTCAAGCCTTCATTCGTCAAACAGCGCCCAAAGCGTTGTACGTGCATTGTAGCGCCCACTCGTTGAACCTTGCTCTGCTTCACGCATGCAAACTCCCCAGCATCCGCAACTGTTTGGGAACTGTATCCTCAACCTGTACGTTTGTGAGAGCTTCACCACAGAGGACGAACCAACTGCGAGACAAAGTAGAAGATTCAACACAAGAAAAAAGAAAATCTGTTCTCTCCTTTTGCCAAACAAGGTGGGTAGAGAGTCACGATGCACTTCAGCGTTTCCTTGAACTGTACGTGCCTATTGTACAATTCCACGAATATTTGGAAGAAGAGGCCGCGTCATCTGTACCAAGCCCGAGTTTGTCGTTTCGCTTCAGATCTGTAGCGACCTCTTCTCTTTGACACTGCCACTTTGCAAGTTTCTTCAAAAAATCAACTGTGACTTGGCTCAATCGTGCGATCACGTAAAGAATGTTATAGACGTTCTTTCCACAAAAAGGGCTAGTGCGGAAACAAAATTTAATAAGATTTTTCTGAAGTCGCTCTCTTTGCTGAAGATCACAAATGTTGAGATGGCCCTACCACGCATCACTGGAAGGCAAATGCAAAGAAGCAACGTACCTTCTGCTACTCCCGAAGAGTACTACCAGAGGAATGAGTATTTGCCTTTGCTGGCTGACTTCGAAAATCAATTAAGAGACCGGTTCGATGCCCATAAGAAGGTCGTGGTTGGCCTTAACATGCTGCTGTCGAAATTCTGCGCATCGGCTAGCCTTTCTGATATTGATGATGCAGTGCAGTTTTATCTTGGCGACATTCCTTCGGCTAATGTCATCAAAGCAGAGTTCACACTGTGGGTGAACAAATGCTGCCAGATCGAAGAAAAGAATCGCCCAGATTGTGCTTTACAGGCCTTAGAGATGTGCAACCGCGACTTTTTTCCGAACATCCACAGCCTACTTTCTATCCTGGCGACGTTACCCATGTCGACGTCGACCCCGAAATGGACTTTTTCCACACTGAGAAGGCTGAAGAGCTACCTTCGAAATCATATGAACAACAACAGATTGACTGGACTAGCACTGCTCAGTATCCATCGAGAACTTCAAGTGACCCCAAAACAAGTCCTCACAGAATTTTGCAAGTTGCCGAGAAGGAAAAACTTCCTCGTTTAAACTTCCCTCTATGGTTCAAGAGTCGATTAAAAGCTAAACCCAGCTAGCCCAAGCTTCAACCCTTCTATCCTTTCGCAATTACGAGGAAACTATCCAGCAAGCAGAATGTGCGAACGGTAACAAGAAGATCGAAATGTCGGGCGACTTGTTTGTTTGCTTGCACACATGCTGTCGCGGACTGCCATTTTTGCGACCCGGCGTAACGGCAAATTAACGGGCGTCGCACTCCCCCGCTGACCGGTGGAACCGTTCGTTCATGAAAAGACTGGCCTTTAGTGCAGGGAAGTACTCAATGGGGTGTTCTTCTTCAAACGTTAGTCGCCGATGTTTGATCCTTTGTAACTACGGCGGCGTCGGCAGGGTTTTCAAAGGCCGCGATGCACCCCGAACTAGCTGTAGACTGCAAGACGCAACGGCTGAAACCAAGGAAACTGACCATTCCCACGGGCAAAACTGCTTTTGGACAAGCCGTATGAGAGAACCCCAACAGGTTGTCACTCTCGCTCAGTTGAGGACCCTCTCCTAATTAAAAAGGAATGTGGTCAATATATTTTTAGGGTGGAGTTTCTAACAATGAAACGTGCATGATTGAACCCATGTAGAGGTCTCTTTTCCCCCAGGACGAGAATCAGGGGACACGGAGGTCGATTTAAAAGCAGGATTTCGCCTTGCTAAGCAGTCTAGTTGCTGACCAACATAGTGTAGAAGGGGATCAAGAAGTATCCCTTAAGTGGCTGTGGCTCCGTGTCGGCTGGCCACCTAAACTTAGCCATTCGTCTAGTTGTGACGCGAAATTAACGTCTCTAACGTAGGCATCGGTACTTGAATCTCGAGTAAGCTGAACCTGCCCGAGATCGGCTTCAAGCACTAGCCTCCCGGAAACACCAGCGCTGCAACACTGCCGACATCACAGTTGTGCCAGAACTCTCTCTGACTTCTCGCATCCGATCATCGTGGATTCAACGCTGCCAGTCATCGCAGGTATCCCTTCACCTGTTTGTACCTTCGGACTTTCTCATCTGTAGTTTTATTGTTGGTTAGTTTTGTGTAGTTTGTGATACTTCTTTCTTGTAAGCTGATTTATTGATTTTATATGTATTTTGTTAGTTGGTATTAAGTGTTGTACTAGATTCCTCTGCAGTGCTGCAATATCGCTAGAGGTTTGTTTTTCCCCACATACATCTCTGATCTCTTCACTGTCTCTGCTTACGCCCCCCCCCCCCCCCCCCCCCCCCCCCTGAAAAAAATTCCTGAGTACGGCCCTGGTGCAACCAATGTGTTGCCAGCAAAACTTCCCACACGAACAACGAAGATGCTATTTCTTCAGCTTTTCCTCCTCTTTCTACTTCTGTGGAAGCCCAACTGATGTGGCGGACAAGGGTTGGCTCCCTTCACGTCCAGAGTTCTGAATCTGCCTTGTAGATGTCATTACACAAGTACATTGTAGGCACTGTCTAAGTAACAAATAGGAGTCATTTTTTCAACTACTTAACAATAAAGATTTTAAATCCATGAATGTAACACAGCATGAAAAAATAACTGGCTGACGATTATTATATAAGTACTGAGTTCAGCTTCTTGACAGCGACGATGAGTTTCTGCTTCAGCTCTGCACACTTCCGGGTCCTGACGGCGGCGACAATTAGCTCTTCAGCAGCCCACACTTCCAGGTGTTTTCAGCAACAATGCTCTGCTTAGGCGGCATGCTCCTCTGGATTATAGAATCAGCAGTGTCTAGTCTCTGCTTAGACAGCTCGTTTAGCAGCAGCGACAAAAGATGCACTTGCACTGGTTTTGTTTCTCTTTGTTCAGAATGAAGTGTGTAATTAAGACTGTTTTGTATATAGGGCCTCACCTTACGTTGAGAACGTTATGAGTGGCACGAGCAAAAAACATGCAGCCCATTTCACATCATATGCCGCAGACGAAGCGTAGCATGACTGTTTTGTTAATTGGGAGAACACAGAGGGCAGTGCGTGGGTGTGTTTCATAACAGCCACTGTAGACAGGCCTCTGTGCATGCATTACGTTATCCCCCTACGTGGTGTCAGTCAACAACCTCGCAACGTACCTTAGTAATGACATCATCAGTGAACGCACTACTGTGTGGCGCCGCGGGTGGCCACTGCAGAGCCTGTCACCTAACCACTGTCGTTCCCTTCTGCTCATGCTTTCCTGGCTATTCCCATCTTTTTTTTTTTCTCCGTTGCACTATGTGTTCCCTCTCTTTTGTTTTCATTTGTTGTGCTGGCTGTGGCAACACCACTCAGTAGAGTAACAAAGCTAAAGCACTGCGCTCTAAAACAAAGCCAACTTGTCTCTTATTCGCGCTGCACCCAGCTATAAGTTTACGCCAACTAACCTGCTTTTATAGCTTGTTAAGCCACACTTCTTTAGTCTCTAGTGTTGACGCTGCATGAATGATCTCATGCAGTGATCTACATGCAGGATACTCACGCCTGAGTGCAGCAAACACCTTGCCCCACTTTCCGGCGTCAAAGGGGTGCACCTTCTCGAGGCCGTAGAAGGAAATATTGTAGGCATCGTTGTACACGATGGGCAGTTGGTCGTGCTCACCATAGCCCTCTGGATGGTACTCCATACCCTCCACACTTTGCTGAGGAGTACTCTGAGAGGATCCACACATGGCCACTCCGTCAGTTCTGAACAGCCGTTGAGGCTTCCTGCATCAGAAGGTGAAGCATAAATATATGAGATTGCTAATATGGGCCAGTTAATTGAATTGTTAGGTATACAGTAATGATTGCAGACAATTAGGCATGAGAAATCATAATGGAAGCATATGACAGGTAAAGCTTACATGGAAGGCAATACAGTCGGCAAACTTTTGCCAACGACTGCACATCAACAGGTGACCAGGCATTCAAGACATTAATGTTTCACATTGGCTTTGATCGCATTGCTGTTCACGCTAAGTGCTGGCCTTAGAGAGAGAAAGAGAGAGACGCAACTTTATTTGAAAAAAAAAAAAAAAGAAAATGCCCGGCGAGTTATTCAGGGATCTGGGAAGATATCCCCGCCTAAGTATCACCCAGGAGCAATCTCAGTCTGCAATAAAAATGAGTGACTCTGCATTCCTCAAAGCCCAAAATATAGGTGGAAATAATTAGACAATAATGAGCAAGCAAAAAGAAAGTGTAACAAAAAGTAAACCACATAGAAACAAATATATAGATGTCTAAAATCTTTACATTCTTTTCAATATCTTAAAATTATGGGGCATACCTGCAGCTGAGTGCACATTTTCAATGCCTCCTTTCAATACATAACTTATATATGATAGATTAAGAATAATAATTGCCACCAGGCATCAGTTGAGATAAGTAATATTTTCATATTAATTATTACCTTAATCTTATGATGCATTCATTCACAGTGTAATGGTAAACTGGTATGAAATCCAGCTTATATCTATGTTGTGCCAGCAGTGTTATCAGAGAAAAATTAGGAGTACGACAGCTGGTCCACCTTCTTATAGCTTTTTGTGTGCCAAATAATATATCTGGCCACACCCTTGATTTATTTATATATATATATATATATATATATATATATATATATATATATATATATATATATATATATATATATATATATATATATATATATATATATATAATAGCATGCACTTCATTATGCTTTGTGTGTCAGCTGTAAGCTGAAATTTTACAAAGGATGAGCACTGAATGTGATTCAACTTAATTGTAGAATGCCTGCAGATATGTATGCAGAGATTCAACAAGTATGTTACGTACTCTAAAAGCTTGAGCACCGAATCTACGCATGGCAAACAATTAATGCATATGTCATTGCTAGATTTTGTCAGAATAAGGACTAAAGTGCGTGGCTGATCAATCGCATACAAGTGTTCATCGATTCCTTTGCTGCTATTTTGCACCGCTTCGCTGATATCAGCGTTATTGAAAGTGGAGCGGAAATAATGAACTACACGCTCTTTTGTTTGTTTTTAAGTAACTCCAGCATTACTGCAGATAACGAACCTGTTCCTGTCGCCAACGTGCACGTAAAATACACAGAAAACACGAGACGCGCAGCTAAACCGAAGCGCGATCGAATGCGCGCGCTGACATTACGAAGCAGAGTTGGTGATGATTTCCGAGTGGCAGCCGAGTTGGATACCGGCGGTCGGTTGTCAGCGTCAGCTACAGGAGCTGGCAGTTGAAGCAGCGCAGCATCGTTACAGGTCGGAGACGCGAAGACTCACGCCGCACTGGCGCCAAAACCGAAACCAGGTGTTCTGTGCCGAAACCACACGCGCACGCTGGATGGCTACCATCCCGTCGCAAATCTCCGTGCGTATCTTTTCGCGCACAAAACCGCAGGCGATGCAGGGCACAAACTTACGGCTTTTACGCGCGTCGACAAAGCGCTGCGCGCAACTGCGGCATCGACTCCCCGATAAGGAAACCTGGGAATCGTTCCACGGAGCGCGCTAACACAGTCGCGAGCATTCGTCTTCGGCTGCTTGATTTTTTTTTTTTGTATTTAGCTTCAAAGTTGCCACTTCAAAAATGCAGTTTAGAGCTACAATTGTACGGTAAGAACGCTTTATTTGCGCCGTTTAATACCGCGGTGTCCTCGCTTGTTATTAAAATGGGCTGCAAACAAGTTTCCCGAAACATTCTTACAATCTATAAATTTTGGTTTGTTTCGTTATCATCGTAGCAGTATCCGGCAGTATCATTGGCACTGTCATCACGCGTTGCACATGGCAGCAGCCGCAAGTTGTGCTGTGCCGCAGCCGCAAGTATTTTGTGATGTTCCGTGGGGAAAGTAGCACTTAGTGATATATAAGTGATAGTTAAAACGATTTAAAGGAAGCGAATTACGGAGAAACGCTCCAAGGTTTCTCAAGGTTGGCTTTTGCAGTCTTAGTAAGCGACCCGGTTAACCGGTGAGTGAATAATTTAACATATATGTGAGACATTGCGGAATACACGAATGCTGGAGAAACGAGCTTGCCGATGAAATCAGGAATGCAAAGAAAGCATGCGTCAACAGTTTTTACGCACGGTACATTGGCAGATCTCTTGCTCTGTATATGCATTGTTCATGCCTGCGTACGCGACAGCGGGCCTTCGTGTTACTCGCGAACAGCTGTAACGCGACATTTGTTCGTGAAATACGGCCTAATTCTGATGCATTCAATGTTATGAAGATTCACTGAGTGGCAATTCACTTTTACGAAGGAAAGTGTAATCTTAAGGGCGCGTTTTTTAAAGGAAAGTATCGGGGATGTTATTAGAAGTAATCGTAATGTAATTGTGAGGAAAAAAAAAGGGGGGGGGGGACGAAAAGATCACTTGCCACCGGCAGGATCCGAACCTGCGACTATCGAACAACGAGTCCACGAGTCCAATGCTCTACCATTGAACAACGGTGGCGGTCATTCCCCCTTGAACATTATAGGGTACATATGTCATTCTTAGGGGACATCGTACATTCGAACTTCTCGTGCGCACACGGAATTACACTTGTCTAGAGCGACAGAGCATGTGACCGTAGGCGCAGTTGTGCACAGCCGGTACATCACGCTAGCTGCAGGCTTACGTTGATGCTTGCATTATAGCAGAGGAACCTAAGTATATAGCTATGTTAGGCACCTTTACGGCGTCTGTCTTTGCATATTTCTGCAGAAAACGGCAGGTAAAGTGGCCGGCTGGGTGCATTGTGATTCCGTCCATCCCTTACATATAATTGATACTAACATTCGGAGTGTTCACATTGCAAGTTACTCAAAAATTTGATTGCTAGTACTCTTCAGGTCAAGAATCGCCTTACCAGACGAGCGAATACTTGATGGGAAACTATTTTTACTGAGCATACCGCCCACATGTCGTGATATAATAGAGCTTGTTTTTCTTTGCCAGCCGCAGGTGTCTAAATGAAGGCGCTAAAGCAGCGAAAGATCCCGCAGCAGCGGCGGCGAAGAAAGATGCTCGGCCGGAAACTGATGCCTCGACTCAGGCGAGCGTTGCAAGCCGGTCGAGTAGTCAAGCCGCCGCGCGACCCACGTCCATGGACCGTGACTCCGATGGAGCCCAGTTCCGCGAACGCTTTTTCAGTGTCGGCCAGATCCCATGCGTGTGTTTCAGCTAGCACCTCCAAACAGAGTAGCATGTTCCCCACGTTTAGTGGAGAGCGAGCCACAGTGGACGAGGATTTTGAAGAAGAGGAGGACGTTTCTGAAGACGGTCAAGAGTGGCATGAAGGTGGGCTCCTGTGTAAAAAAGGGAGACTACAATGGCGCAGAACACCTGTCACTGAATCGGACCAGCCTGGCTTTGAAGAATACGGATCATCATCAGAAGGAGGTGGTGACGAAAGGAGCGATGAGGATAAGAGTGAAGAAGACGTGTCTGTGGATGGTGCATCTGATGACTATCACACTTCTAGCAGCAGCGGCAGCTCCGCGTCTGAGGAAAATGACGTCGATGAGTGCGGTCGGAGGGATGTGAACAGACTGCTGCTGGAATCACAGACCTTTCTGCAGGAGTACGAAGATGACGACAAAGCTTGCAATGTTGATAATCAAGTGAGTGCATGGTTGTGTGAAATGCATATATTTTTAACTTAGCGTTACCACTGCCACAGTATGAGCGCCACGTCCTACAGTGTTAGCGAATGGTTCTAGACGTTGTGACAGCACCTTCCAAGCTAGTGCAAATAAGTCAACATCTTGTTAAATCAGAACATATGCATGTGTCTTTTGAACAAGTATGCCAGGACAGATTAAGTATACGTTACACCATTTTTTTATGGAAAGCTGATTGAGAAAAATTAGGCATGACTGCTGTTAAATATTAAGGCTACAGGTAATGAAAAGATATGAAAAGAACGAAATCACAACAATTAATAAATACGATTTGGACAAGCGTAATGCATAAAATAAAATCCACTTCAATGATAAGAGTTTGTTTCACTTGCCATGTAGATGTCTGTGTCCCTCCAAATCGATTTTAAAACAAAAATATAATCAGTGGCAGATTAAGCTGGAATGAATGTGCGAATGGTGGTAAATGTGTCCTTACACCATTTAACATTGCACTTATAGTGTTGAAAGCGTAGAAGGTGCATGTATGGTTTCTTTCCTGCTTGCTACTGTATATTTTTTCTCACTTGCAACAGGTGGTGCAAGAGCTCACTGCACTAATCCACCAAATACCCCGTAAAGTTTAGAGAGGGTGAAGTGCGGGCTGCTTGCTTTATCATCGCTAAACAGAGTATGTTTTCCTAATCCACTGTGGTGCGCAACTGAAGAAAACCTTGGGGCTAAGTGCTGCATACAATCACTTCGTCCCCTGCAAAGTGAGAAGAAAATTTTACGGAAAGAGCTGTGAGCTTGAAAGGACCTGCAAGCACACTGCTATGTTCTAAAAACATGACGTTCAATGGCACAGCGATGCGTTTTGCCATCCCTACTTATATTCCTGCAGCATACATTGTAGGAATATAAGTAGGGATGGAAGAAATATAAGCAGGGATATAATATAAGTAACCCTGACAGCAGTAGAGGGGACCGTATGAGGCTTGATGTGATCGCCATCATGGCTACTGGTCGTTGCTGACAGACGCTCCCACGTTTAATGCACATATATAACCCATAAAGTGGATGGGGGATATCCATCGTGATAGCTTAGTTGGTTGAGCTTCGGACACATTGTTTGAAAGTCGCAGCTTCAGTCCCTGCCCACGGCAAGTTATCTTTTATTTTAGTCCACATTTCTTTTTTCAAATTTACATGACAATTACTTGTAGTAACATCCCCTATACCTTCCTTGGCATGATTGTCTGTTAGATCTCATTAATATACCCGGCTGCTGAGCTGCAGGTCGCGGGATCGAATCCCTGCTGCGGCGGCTGCACCTTCGATGGAGGCGAAAATGCTGTAGGTCCGTGTGCTCAAATTTGGGCGCACGTTAAAGAACCCCTAAGTGGTCGAAATTTCTGTAGCCCTCCACTACGGCGTCTCTCATGGTCCCATATGGTGGTTTTGGGATGCTAAACTGCACATATCAGATCTCATTAATACTGATGTAATGAAAAGCATTCTTGAACACTGAATAGTGCTGGAGGTGACATTTCAACCAGTGGACATCTTTTTCGTTTGTGCATCAACTGCCTTCCTTAGCAGCATTTTTGCATCCATTTTCCTCACTCCCTTGAAACCACAAAAGTGGAGAAGAACACAAGTCTGCTTGTCAAAGCGTCGGCTCCAATGACATTCTCTTGTGAAGGATATTTTAAGCCTTGTCTGAATATTCGAACGAATATTACTGTACTGGAAGTCACTTTGATTGGAATTCTAAATTGTTGAAAATTTTAAAGTATTCAAAATGAACGAATAGGTGTACATCAGTCTGCACGTAACCCCATACTGCTCTTTTTTTTTCCCGGTCAAAAAGTGCCCATTTTTATATTGCTGATTTCCAATTTGGTTGTACTCAAAAGTAGCTAGTCAATGCTGAAAAAGTATTTTCACCACATCATTAGTCAAGTCAAGGGAATAAAGTTAATTTCTGAACAGTGCACAGGAAACCAGCTACCTGCTGCTAATAAAATTTAAAAACCTTATAAATGATGCAGTTGCAGGCGCAACATCTTTCTTCATTTGTGTAGGCTCAGCACCCTTGGGATATTCCACCCGAGAAGCTTCGGGGCTGTTTGGAAAATTTCACAACTCTGAATAAAGCAGAGTGTCTTCACTGGTGGGCACTCGCAATGTTCGCATCCGAGTTGTCTTCATCATCGCCGAAGGAGCTACTCGATTCACCCTCATCGCTGTCTTCACTTCAGGACACAATATAAATATCTGTACCCAAATAATCGTCGCTCGAAGATGACAAAAACGAATAGCTTCTTTTTCGTGTTCACGGGCCAGCTATGTGTGGGTAGCTGCCACTCTTTCCATACAAAAACGGCGCTCCTGCCCCAAATGCTGTAAATGTGCAGTTCTCTGCCTGAATGATGGAGAGGAGTGCCGATTTCGAGTGCCACTCCTGCTCGTCCAAAGCAGTTTGGGCAGGACGAGCGTGGCTCGTCCAAAGCAGCTCAGGGGTTAAAGGTGGTCTCACTGCAGTCAAGTGGTCCTAAGGCGTGAAAGCACTTATCCAAGTGTATATTGGTTTGCATGTAACTTTTTGCAAAAGCAGTTTCAGTGCAGTAAAGGGTGTTAAGCCGTGTGAACACCTACCTATCCAGGGGAAATCTGCACTGAAGTGAAGCATTACCCTCCCATCCATTCATCATTTTTTAAATTTTACAAGCTAGTTATGCAACTATTATGCTCTATTTGTAGTAAATTTTAAAGGGTAACATATTTGACAGGTTGTCACTTGCATTTTACTACCACTCAAAAGTTGTTTCCTCTTTCTTTGAACCAAAAAAAAAAAAATGTATTTTGCATGGGCCTTGTTTTCATTTTTAGAAAATATTGTGCAAGTCAGTTCGGTCACGACAAGTATTCCCATTTTCCTTTATAATTTGTAATATTGATTGTTCAAATTTCATTCGAAATCAGACCGAAATCGCTACTCGCTTCGAACCTGAAGTTCACTATTCACACGAGCTTAATATATTTCATAAGTTGTATGGCTACCATGTATTCGCAGTTGGTGCAGTCATTGCATGGCTTACTGGTGCGCTCAGTATGAGCTTCTCAGTGAGAGTATGTGGCCAAGTGCAACGTAAGGTTGTACAGTGGTGCTAATTTTTAAATGTATGGTAATGGTGTCGTTAGGGGAGGATTCAGCTGTTCCTGCCGGTGTGCATCGTGTCTACTTGCTTTCACGCTCACCCTCATTTCACCGTGGGCACAGAGTTTTCTAAAATTAACTAAAGAGGACTGTGGCACTGTGATCATTCAGCGACCATGGGGATGATGGATAGTACACAGATTCGTCTAGTCTTCGTACTTGCTGGTGGTGAATCGCACTTGCGGCTTCGTTTATTTCTAATTTCAGTTTCGCTTTGAAAGAAAGAACGAATCCTTTTCAATTTTGTGACTCAATTCGAAATGGTAAGCCTAAAAAAATAAGGTAGTGAAGCGCAACCGCTGTACATTTGTTGAATTTTTTTCCGTAAGAAAACAGCTCCAAGCCACACGAATGCACACGGAGCCATAAGCAGGCCGGAAGTTTAGCAGGCCGGAATGAAGATTAGACAAATCTGTGTACTACCCATCATTCCCATGTTCGCTGAAGCACCGTGCGTTGCAGCTCCCATTAACACTAGCGCCAGAGTTCCCTCTAGTGTATACTAGGAAACTCTATGGCTGTGGGGCGATAATAGCTTCGTGAATGATGAAATGCAGCTAGTGGGGGTAATGCCTGCTCGTAGAGACAGTCACGACCTCTCTTGATAACTCGAAATATATGCCATAATTGGCGTCTCTGTACAACCTTGCAGCCTGTGATAGTACCTTCCCAGTATGCCCTAAACTAAAGCATTGATTTTTGTGGTTGCTATGGCAGCACTTTACTCTGCTCAAGGGAGAGAAAGAAATTCCTCATTTCTAAAGGTTCTCTGTTTTATCAGGGGACCAATGAAGAAGACTCCAGAGCCAATGCTGATACAGACAACACTTTCAGGTAGGCAGGAGGTACATAAACCTGCTTCTTGATTTCGACTTTACTATGTCTTAATTTGTGAACAATATATTTGGGAAGCTAACAAAGTAGCATAGTGCGTAGAGGGTAGGCTTTTGTGCATTTCGGCGTCAAACTTTGTCCATTGTCATTAAAAAACTTAGGACGTTGACATCTTTCGGGTTTAGTGAGGACACATTTTTTAGAAAAATTAACATTCTACATTTCTTACCTAACAGTCAAACTTTGATATTGCAAGCAGTGACATTACAATCTAATAAATATAACAAGAGAAAGCTTGTATCTTCCTTGCCTATATCAGCGTGTCGTGTACTTAACCTGTCATTAGTTTCTTCTGTATTGAAGACATTTTTATGTCAGATGAAAGTAGTAGTGAGGTTTTTGTTTTGAGGTTTCAATTTGAATGAAGCCGAGATGTCCAAAAGCTCGTAAAATTTTTATAAGGATAAAAGACAGCATTGTACAGTACAATTCACTAGGTTCTGAACTCACGGGGATGGGAGCAGGCTGTTACAGGAAATGTCATTTCTAGCACCTGAAATGATGGCACTGTTTTATTTTCAACTGTATTGAAAGGTGCAGGACTATAATTACTTATGTTGTCGGTGACAAAGTGCATATTTAGGCCCTCCTGTGATGCATGTATGTGCAGTGTGAAGTGCTGAATGTCTAGCTTTCTTCTGCTTCACACAGTTCGAATAATACAGAATCAAAACACACCCTGCACTGAATTTAAAAGCTTGTCGGCCTAATTGGTCTAACGCACTTACGTACTAAGCAATTCAGCATGAAAAATTAAGACAATTTTAAAAGACACTAAAGGCAAAAAAGATTTTGTGCCAAAGGAAAAGCTTAGTGCCTAAAGAGACTGTCTACCGTCCTTCATCGCTTTTCTGTTTTGTATCCAATAGAAAGCGTACCATCTGAAATGTCCAACCTTGCAGTGGTTTTTATGGAAAGTGAGTAGAAGTTTTTAAAACAAAGTTTTCTATCTGCATTCACTATTTTTCCAATGGTGGGATGAGCGTCCACAAGACTGGTTGGTTGGGGTGATGGCAATCGTAGTGTGGGTGCAAGTCGGAAACTCAAACCAAGGGCAGGTTTTGCAAGCTTCCTCATGTTTTGTTCTACAGTAAAACAAAAACTACCGTAGCGGTCGTCTCAATACACCAATTGCCAAATAGTACTGTATTAAGTCATTCTGCGCCAAATCATCCAGCGTTTTTCCAACCATCATGAATATGACTGCAAAAATTTCCTCATGTTTCTTGAAGTTCAAAACTCGCCCTGCCTGTTGATTTTCCTTGCCAAAAATTTTACTGCCTATTCATGAGTCTGTTCTTTTGCGCCGACCGAGCTAGAGGGCATCAGACAACAATTTTTTTCAAAAGATTTTTCTGGAATGCACTTGATAAAATGGCATTTGAGGCAACAAAATGCAGTGGCCTGACTCTAAAAATGATGACTTACATACGTATATCACTTTTTTGAGGGCTTTTTGCTCAAGCAATATGAAATAATGCTGCCAAATGTGGGATTTTTTGGGGCGGTGGGGGGGGGGGGGGGGGGGGAACGTGGCATGTTCAAAGAACACAAATACAATATGTGCTGGTGGCCTGTTTGACATGCTACAAATTAAAAATAATTTAGGCACTAAAGTTATAGCAGATAGCCTGAAAAAAAAATTGCGAATTTCGCTTTTTTTTTTTAGAAAAGCTCTGTATACAGTGCCAAAAAACTTGCCTTGGTGGTTGGATTAAATAGGTAAATTACTAGAGGGTATTATTTTTAAACTTGATAAATATTTTTTGAAATTATGTATCTCCACCACTTTTTCGCCTATGTAACTCAAGCGGCAGGATGCACTCGCAAGGGCAATCTTTAGCAGAATCCCAGTGAAGGGATTCTGCATAAGATCGCCCTTGTGATGTAGAACCTCAGTGAATTGTGGTGTTCACTTAACGCCCGCGCGAGGACTCGTGCAACTTTACTAGGCTACGTTGGATTCATGAACACGGTTCAAAAATTCTCTGAAGTCAGTCGCACTGCTATTCACGGCAGACATTTTTCTTTTTATTCGTTTGTTCTTATGAACGCCGCCGGATGCAGTGTTCGCGTTTCTTCACTATAGACAGGTAAGCAAATGTGCCGTCAGCAGTGCCACTGGGTGGCTCTTGGAACGTGGGAGGGAAAAAAAAGCAAAAAATTGCTCTCTGGCGCCATCTAAGTCTGCCTCAAGTGCGTACGTTAAATATAAATTCAAGCTATACATGTTTGTTTTTAAGCGAAAGGAGCCTACCTGCAAGGATTTGTTGTCCCGCCAGTATATTGACAACATTGCTGTACGGTGACACAAGGGGTCATTCTTTTTCACCTTTAAACATCAAATTAAATTTATAATTACATTTATGGAACGAAACCATACTTGTTGCCACCGATGTGATGAACGATCTGCTCAATTCTGCCACTATAGGAAACATTTTTCTGAGCAGTAGACGGTCCCTTTAAGAACATCTAAAACGTGAACAATTTATTCCACATCGCGTTAGTAATTGAGAAACTGAGGTAAATTTAGGACACTGTATGCCCCACCAGTGGGACATCTAGGAACTGGAGCTCGATTATGTAGCAGGAGCTCAGTACAAGTAATCACAAGTACCAAAACTACTGATGACTGGAAAGAAAATTTCATTGCGTTAAAACACAGAATAAAATACAACTTGAGCTTATTCATGCAAAAATACCTTGACGTTTCCTTTGAGAACAATGTGAACACTGTTTTTGCTGAGCTGTGCTCTGCTAATGCTCCTTGCGTTGCAGTGCTGACTCCTGGGCATGCAATAAAGGGCGGACATGGCATATGCTATGTCAGATGGCTGATCGCAGAGGCGGGCAGTTTGAATTGCTCCATCATTATCCAAAACACTAAAACGTTATTCAATTTGAAACTAAGCATTTCCTTGGTTCAAACCAAGCAATATGAGGTGAGGTTACTGGAACGCTATTCAGAAATCCATGATGTCTTAATATTTGCCTTTGGTGTCTCTGCAGTTTTGTGTTATCTTGCTGATGGACCCTTTCCATAATTGTAAAGCTGGCTTTTATGCAATGCACTTGGCTCAACTAATGGCAGATCGTCACTTCTGTAAACAGAACAACAAGTACAGTTTGCTTGTGCTGTGACACAGAAGATGTAGACTGGGCTTTCTCTGTTTAAAGTGCATAACAGACAAGCCCAGCACAAGCAACTAGGATCTCGTCTCTATCTTAAGTACAACAAATGTTGCCATTAGTTGGGCAAATGTGCAGGGCAGGGAGGGAAGCACACTTGAAGATCTATCTCAGCTCGGTGGGCCAGTGGGTGTCAACAACCGGTGAAACATGCACAGGGTGTTCATGGCAGCCGGCCGTGTGGTCGTGTTGGTGCGGCCACCGGCAGCAGTGCAGCTTACGGGGCGGGCTCAGCTCCGCGTCCTGCATGGCATCCTCGATATTGAGGGCCACGTGATCATAGGTGGGACCGCGGCTGCACGTGTACGGCCCGACTGCTGCCTCGTCCATTCGCCGTTCCCCAAAGGCTTCGTGCACGTCAAGCCCCTCCCGTTGGAGGTCCCCAGGAGCATCGGCAAGGCGATGAACCTGCGACGGACGCTGGCCCAGCTGGGCATGGACGAGGCCTGGACCAAGCTGAGGCCGCTGATTGGGCGGGGAACGGCCGTCATGCTGCTTGAGAAGGTGAGGCATCGTGGTGGACATGCATATTAATATCTACACTGTAAAGACTGGTAGAAAAGGCGATAGAGGGAAATTCGCACAAGGTCTGACCCTTAGTCGTCATAGTAGCAGCTAAGATGAACATGTGCTTAGTTCTTCTCTGCGGCCACCATTTTCAAGGGAAGTGAAACGCAGCAAGACTTGTGTATTCAAATTTAGGTGCGTGCTTAGACAATAGGTTGCCAAAGTTACGTTTTGAATTGACTGTAGCGTGCCTTATACCATGTGCATTGAGAGTTTTTGGCTCATAAAACCAGGTGGAGGAATAAACATTTATAGTTTGATTATGATTTTATCGGGGTGCTAGTCCCACTCCTACCTCTGTGGGAGTTCAATATATTTTTTAAGAAATGGTCAGCAGGGTCCCTTTGTTCGCGCTTGTTGGTTATCGGAAGCCGAAAATGGTACTGACACCTCTTTTCGAAGGCAAGTTTACTCTGCCATACAAGTCTCCTGTATACAGAGACAACTCGGAGCTAGTGTGATGCTAAGCAAATGCTGATAAGATGTATTACTTTAATATTTTTTAGTTCATTTTTTTCATGGCACACCTATCAACATCGACACTAACTTGATGTCGGGCTACAGAACCCATTCTGGCAACTTCGTGTTACAATCTGGCTAGTTGTGATGACATCAGGTACCGAAACTTCCAAAATGGCCGCTCGTGCATCATTGAAACATTCAAAATGGCCTTTCGTGCATCACCAATAGAGCCATGGGGCGGTGCGCTCGTGGAAACGTCACTATATCTTATACGAGCAAGTGACGAGAAGCTCATACTGTGTTGTGACGTTAGGGTACAGTGGGAACCGAAACTAGCTTTAAAAATCATTGTGTAATTAATTTTGCTGCACTATCCAACTCACGCATAGCACTACGTTTTCTAGGCTATTGAGGGCTTAGCCTATCACTTGACGTAAGAAAACAACAAATGAGAAATTTATGTCAGTGGCCCTTTAGTGTTTTCATGTGTTGAGGTCAAGCACTGTATTTGCAGTTGTGCATTCTTGTCCAAACTCTACGCAATGTTTTCTATACCACGATTTCAGGGGTGAAATTGCTGCACCAATAGCGCCATTGTGCGATAATCTGACCAGCTGCACCAGGCTGCGCATGAACTGCAATTTTTCGAATTATTGTTAATTGGAAGTTTAAATCGCAAAATCTAGCCTATCATTAGCATTGACTGAGCAACACTGAGTGTTGGCCTCTCCAAGGACGTGGCCGCATCCGTATCCAGTGGAGTTCGATCACGTTGTAGATCGGTTCGTTCATGAGGCTTGCTTGTGCTTGTCTCATATCGCTGTTATCGCCATGGTTACCCCTTAACAGTGGTGGCACCATCATGAGTAAATGTTAGTTATATAGTAATACAGTGAAACCTCGATAATTTGTACAAGACGGAAACGCAGCAGGATCATGCACTTAACGGCAGTGCGCGTGTACAAGTGCAAATGTGCATCTCCTGACGTCCCTTATTGCCACAAATAAATAAATACAGGGCCCCAGCAGATGTTCCCAAAGTGGCCACCAGAAAGTCCTTTCTTCCTTTTTGCTAGGGTGCGGAAAAGCTACTGGGCTGGCACTCTCGCACAATCGTTTTGTAGTGCGCAGTGGTGGCACCAACGAGCATTTTGAAACTACCGTGACATGTCGAGCAAGCGTCCCTCCCTAACGATGTCGAAATTGCCTGCAAAATGGGTAGGGGGGTGCTTTCCTGGAACGGTGTGGATATTTGAAAATTGCCAGTAGGGGGAGGGGAAGCTGGGGGCACTTGCTCGGAATTTTACGGTATTGCAGGGTCCAGCATACGCAGTGACGGAGATAGTGAGATAACAGACAGTATGAGCTTTCTGCGATACATATGTGCGACTCTCTTGTGCGATTTGATACTAAGCAATAACTGACAGTTTCATCAAAACACGGAGCAGACGCATGGACTCGGATCATCTCCTACTTAGTTGCGGGCAACGCGGCACCTATGCTGTCCACGCCGTCGCTGCTAGGCGGCTTGATGTACCGTACGCGCCTATTTGCTGCAAGAAATTTTCATCCCCACTTCGCTCCTGATTGAGCACAGATGAGCCGAGTAGTGTGTGTAATTAGCGTAGTGTTGGAAATGCACATGCCATTTTGTAGATAGTGAAAGAGGATGACGATGTAAAGAGAGGCACTCGTGCTGTTTCGCCTGTGTGGTGTTTGTAGCCTGTGTGGCTTGTGCGTTGTGCGTTTTCATAAGAGTTCATTAAAGTGTTCTTCTTTTACGTCTCGTGTGCTTAAAGGACACCGTACAAAGACAACATTTCAGAAGTGACATGGTAATTCAGTCGTCAATAAATGAGTGAATATGAGTTTTACCAGTGCACGAAACTGTAACCCTACCCCTAAGATGGAGCGCACCGACAAATGAGTCAACCCGATTGGTGTTGGAGACGCAAACTCCAACTACGGAGACAAGATCACAGCTCCTGAACTACTACAAGCTATTCAAGAAAAGGAGAGACTACTAGAAACCCTGCTGGAAAGACTGGTTTTGACCTGCGCAGCACAGCCTCAACCAGCGCCAACGTTCCAGGTGATCACTAACTTTAGCCACATAATCAGTCCCTTCAACAGCCCCAAAGACGCTTCTTTGGCGCATGAGTGGATGGACAATATACGCAAAATGTCCTATCTTCATGGGTGGCGAGCTGTATGAGAATGCGGTAAAAATGCGGCGAAGAAGGAAAGAAAAATGAAGAAGATGAAAAAACAGCCCAGGAACAAAAGGTGACTTGTAAGGAGAAGGGTGAGGTTGCAGAAGAGGAAGAACCAAAAGACCAGCCGAGCCAAGACGACGAAACGAAAGACAAGAAACTGGAAGAATCTGGAAAAAGTGCCGGAGAGCAGACGCAAAGAAGAACGGACAACTTCGAATCAATCCGAACGAGGATAGCCGAAGCCACCAGAACCAGATGACACCAAGAACATTGGAAATGACGGAGCAAATCCAAAGAAAGAAGCGCCGTAGACGGGCCAACAAAGCTCGAAGCCACAGTTTAGACAAGAGGACACTGGAATCATGCGGGTTGTGGCTTTCCTTGAAGTCCAGCTAGTCAAGATGGCCAGAAGCTATGACATTGCCTTGAAAGTTTTACGGTACAAACGGGTGAACTTCTGCGTGCCGTGAGGAACTTAACGCGTCAGCGTATAAGCATAGCTATTTCCTTGTAGTATTTATTTGTTTCTTGTTCACCTTGTTCCTATTATGCATGTGTCATTTATTAAACAGTTGAATAAGATGGCCGAACACTTTTATGTAGAATGAGTGAAGAACGTTTTCGGGACAGCCTTAATGAGTACGTTAAGTGTTGCAGGATGGCCAAATGTTGGATATGCACGTGCCCTTTTGTAGATACTGAAAGAGGACGACGATGTAAAGAGAGACGCTTGTGCTGTTTGTAGCCTGTTGTGGTTTGTAAGAGTTCAGTAAAGTATCCTTCTTTTACTTCTCTTGTGTTTAAAGGACACCTGACGAAGACAACAGTGGGGATAACAAACTTTCGCAAAGTGAAGTGTGCCGCGATTGTCTATACTTTGTTTCACACATCAGGTGCAATGCCGAAGATGCTAGCGAGGCTCCTTGCGGTGGATACGATCACGTAAAGAAATAGTTTCATGTTTTTTTACCACCCAGAATATATTTTTGTTTTCATTTCAGGCTGACTATGAAATGGGCATGTTTTGTATCACACACACGCATTCACGCATGCACACATATATTTGCAGGCGGCAAGTCTGGTAAGCTCATTACTACTGAATGTTTAGTGAAAACCATGGGATTTTTTTCACTTGAAATAATTTTAATTGGCGATGATATTTGACCTTAGAAAGCTGCTCTAAAGTAACTCACGTTAATCCAAAACACACCTTTTGGTGCTCCTAACCTGCTCCAACATTCCCCTTTTACTGCGTCAAAGCTGCTCCGAAACAGCATTATTCCTGTTCCCTGAGCTGCTCCAAAACACTGAAGTCTGCTTCCAACCCTCTGACTGTTATAATGAGAGGATTGCTTTTGCTCTTCTACAATTGTTGACGAAGCATGCAAAGGAAAGGATTGGAGGACGTTAAAAAGTGCGGCTGCATCATTCTGTCTGAAGTAAGGAAGACAATGACCCAAGCCTGAGTGCACGCCTTCCCTGTGCCATTGTTATGATGGGAATTCTCAGTGCTGGTCCTGTTGTTACATGTGTAGAAAGGAAGAAGATTACGTCCCGCAATGGGTCACGACTGTAGTGAGAGGAGTCGAGCATGAGCTGATGGCTCGAGCGCTGTGATTCCTGTGTCGGTTGCTGTCGCCCACTTTCCGTATCAATAGACCGGCTGTGCAAGTACTACTTACGCCAATAAACCCCGTTTCAGAGTGGTGGAGGTGCTGAGGTAGTTTCCTGTTGCGGAGTTCCAGTAACTCAACCTGGAACTCCGCAACAGCAAACTACCTGCCATCCCAGAATGGGCTGAAGAAAACACCCAGCAAGGTACGACCCAGCCTCTGATGGTAATCGTGCTCGCTGCGCTACACGTGCGCGATCCACCTTTTTTCGACGGTATCGATGAGCAAGACGTAGAAGATTGGCTGTCGACATTTGAAAAGGTAGGTGCAAGCAACAAGTGGGACGACCCTTGGAAGCTGCAATAGGTACCCTTCTACTTGAAAGAGGTAGCGAGTCTCTGGTTTAACAACCACCACTCGGAATTCGCCAGTGGGGGTGTTTTTAAGCTACGCATTACCGATGTGTTTGGTCGCCCCTAGGTACGCAAGCTTCGTGCCGAACAGTGCCTACGAGGACGCACATAGCTTCAGGGGGAAGGCTTTGCGAGCTACATCGAGGATATGCTTGACTTGTGCAAGCGCCTTGACCCTTCAATGACAGAAGCAGACAAGATCAAACACATCTTGAAAGGGATAGGCGACGACG